TAAAGCACAATAAATACACATTTTTTCGTAAAAAGCCATCGGAGTAAGAATTTCAAGTAAGTGGTAAATGGTTTAATGGTAATGTTTTATTGAATCTTTCCTTTTTGGATACTAACAATAATTTCGAAAATCTTAAAGCTAATTCTTATTCCTAGAACAAGTTAGTCATTACCACTGTATAGATTAACGATTAACAAAGTAAGCAAATTACAATAAATTACGAATACTTAGATTTATCAAAGAATGTGTTTATATAGATATCACTAGAGATACCAAACACTCATGTTTAAAATTTAATAAGGACAATTTGAAGTAAATTACAATATCACGAGGGATATATGCGGAGCACAACTCCGAAGTAGTTTAATTGGAGGCGGCAGATCCCTTAGTCACAGTTCACACGTAAATCCTTTTTTTTAATCGCTTAGGCTAGCTCTGCTGTATTAATTTTTTAGCCAGAAAGTTTGGGTGGTTAGATAATCTTAATGAGTAAATTTTACGCAGTTTCTCTATTTCCTCGGTGACGGTTTCAATCCCGAGATTGTTATGAATAGTGGAGTTTTTTATATACCAAGGGGCTTTGCATATTGATCTTAAAGTTTTAGACTGTAGTCTAGGCTAAATTTAGATGCTGAGCCCCAAATTTGGATCCCGTACGTGCAAAATGGCCTTATAAGCATATTCAAAAGTAGAACTTTGTTTTTTAGACTTAGTTTGGACTTAGACCCTACAATCCAATGCAAGTTCGCAATTTTCAGTATGGTTTGAGTAGTTTTTTTTTGTCTATGTGGTTTTTCCAGGTGAGCTTTTTATCCAATGTAACTCCCAGGTACCTCTTTTTGAGGTATTGTATTCCCATTTATAGACAGTGAAGGACAAGTGTCTTTTTTTAGGTAAATGTTACTTGTATATACTTAAACTCATTGACTTTAATTCTCCAAGTTGTTTGCCACTCTTCTATTACTTTTAACTGTTCTTGTAATCTGTAACTGGCTGTCGAGGGATTTGAATGGACACTAAGTCAAAAAAAGTGTTTTTGAAAAAACTTAGATCTTTTGAGGGCAATATCAAGAGAAAAATTGCTAGTGCGGCGCTATAAAATTTCTGAAAACACAATAAAATTTTTGCTCCTGCAATTTTTTGGATTTTCATGATGTTGATTGGTGTCGGCCGCGGTAACCGAGTGGTTAGCATTGCGCACTGCCATTCGGAATGCTGGGATTCAAATCCTGGTATCGTAATAACATCCAAAAACTTCTGGAAAATTATTTTAAATAATAAATTAAGTTTTCTAATTGCGGCCGCCCCTCGGTGGGGAACGTGTGTATTGCTGAAATGAAATAAAAGGCTTCTCGTAAAAAAACCGTTAGCCGTTCGGAGGTTGCTTAGTATAAACAGTAGGTCCTTCCATTTGTCACTTAAGTGAATATACATATATATATGACGCTGATATGCATTACTACTACATGCATCCTACGACGCGGAAGGTCATGGGATCGAATCCTATGCCGGCTAACACATAAAATTATAGAAAATGTATTTTTAATTAAAAATGATTTTTCTATTTGCGGTCGGCAGGGAATGTACTTCAGACATAAAATAAAAAGTCCTTATAAAAATCACTCAACTCTTCGGAAGTTTCTTAGAACCGAATGCAGGTTTATTAAAAAAATATCAAAACACACAACACAAATTGGAGGAGGAGCAAAACATTATTGTTATTTTGTTATTCATAATTTGACTATAAACAAATAAACACTTTATTTTCATTCACTCAGAAAAGCCAGTACTTTTTATTTAGAAAACTTGTGATGGAATCACACGTAGCTGTTGGTGTTCCCTTCACCGATTACCACTGTCAACAAACTACAAAAATTAAAATTAACAGGCAAACCGTTAAGGAAGTTGGAGTTCATTTGTATATACATACGTGTACATACACGTGCTCCTTAATATCTGTTGGCCATTCGAATTGTAATACATGCACATGTATGTAGGTAGGTATGTACACAACAAACAAATTAATTATAAAATTGGTTTTAATCAAATTATACACATAAGTTGACACTTGCACTTGCACTCGCATATTTTTTAGCATGCCGCAGTTTATTCAACTTTAATTAAGATTTTATTATCGGAGTTTATTACTGCGTTTGGCCGTTTAATCATACAACTGAAATTCCTGTGCCGTCACATATGATGCAACTTTGACGCTGTTTATGCTGTACTAAAAATACCAAAGGCCAAAAATATCTGAGAACGTCAGATTTAAGAGGTGGCGTTGCGTCGTTGGTTCACCTATTTATGAATACTAAGTACATATGTGTGTAGATACATATGTATATTGTCAGTATAAACAGAGTACTAACAGATTGGCATAACGGGAAATTTTGGGTGATCACATCGCACCGATCGATTGCATCATTTCACAAATAAATAACCCAAAATTAAATCGTCTTCACCTGCATATACCGAAATAATTTTAAAATCAAATTTATTTTCAACAATTAAGTACTTACATACATATTTACTTGTATCATGATGTTGCTTCAGATTTGTTTTTAATAAATTACAGAATGTGTTTACTTCCGAAATTCTGCTCATTGATCACTCGTACGATTAAGTCTCATATTCATAATATTTTTGTACTCATATAATCTACAAATCAAATAGACAGAGCCCTCTTATTATGCACGTATATATACATACATATATTATTTATATATTTATTTATACTTTATTTTTAACGAAAATTTTTCCACTCCAGAAATAAGCAGTGCTAACAAATAGTATTTACGAGTAAAAAATTTTTTAGACATAACACTATTAAATAATTGTTGTTGCAATATATATATATATATGATTTATAGGGCTGGCCAGAAAAGTACTGTGAATTCGTTTATTGTCTAGCATAGTCTTGAGGGTCGAGCGGTCCCTCACAAACCAAGCTGAAACCCCAAAATCATTTCTAACTTTCATCCTTATTACTGAAGAAAATAGACCGCTGACAAGCTATGCTCTAATCTGCAATAAGGAGGGGCCGACTGTTTCGGTGAACGAAAAAAGGATTAATCGTGGATATATGTTTGTCAAGCTGTTTTGCAGATCACTTTCAACGGCTAATTCAATAAATAATTTAACTTAATTCAATATGAGCACCAATAGGTGCTTGGAAGACCTTAGGTCCATTGATTTACACGCTTATTTGATCCCGATTGATTGATATTCTTTCATAATCGGATAAAATTATAGGTGCACTTTGAAAACCCGTCATCATAGAGGATACTTATTTCGCAGCATTTGCCATAAACCGTGGCTCGTATCTCTGATAAGCATCCGAACGGACTCGGTATAAACTCGATACCTCCGAACAACTTTCGTAGCAAATTTATTATTTGTTGTATTTGGTCCACCCTGTACATGGGTCCTATGCTACTGGTTGCCCACCTTGGTTGCTGATAATTTATTTGTTTACATGTAAAACATACATATTATTGTTGTTTCTTTTTCTTTTAGTACTAAATTAAGATTAAAGATTTTAAGTTGACAACAGAATAATCATGGAAGACAAAGTAAACAATGAGCTAGCTATGAGCCTAACTATAAGCTTATATGATACGTTTGGATATATAAAACACTGGCTGACTTTTTGAGAAGTTCAACATAGACGATTCCTGTACTGCAACACTTTATGATGTGTCTCCACTTTGAAGAACATTGCTTTTCTTTAAGCAAATTGCTAGAATCTTTGCTCTATTTTCTCCTTCCGTCACCGGCATTTATTGTCCCATTCCAAAATACTTATTAAAAACGTATCCCGCCTTGCATCCACACCACAAATTTAAGGAGGGTCCTGAATAATAATAGACTTAGACTATTCTTAGGAATCTTCTAGCCAAATTAATTTTTGTATGATCTCGAAAGTGTTGCTTAAGCGATATTAAAATTGTGTAGTCCACTTGTTTTCTATGTTGTTGTTCTATGAACGCAGACGGAACGATATTACATTTCTATTCCCAGTAAATTTCCAATAGTGTTGTGATCGTAAATACGGAGTTCCACTGTGCGAAGGCTCTCTCTCACTTCATTTCTCTTTCTCTTCTCTTTGTTTACTGTTAATTTATCAATTTCCTTTTATTGTTACCTCAATACTTTTTACAAAATATTATAGTTTTTTAAAACTTGTCAAAGGGACTCAAACTATGACCTCATGCTATCCATATCATCGCATTTTAAAACTATTTATATTTAAATTTTTTATATTTTTTCTTCAATTGTCAGAATTTGTTGAATGCAGTTTCATTAACAGATGACAGTTCGACAGCCGCTCACGGGTAAACAGTAGTTTAAAATCAAACGTAAATACGGATAAAACCACGACGGAGTTGTGTGAAGCTTTAAACGATTGAATTCCCCTCAAACTCTCTCTTACAATTTGTATTCGCTTGAAATTCGAAAGGATAATCTTTTGCAAAGTGAAAATTACGAAAACTTTACCAAAGTCGAATTTTAAATTAGATCTTCAATCTGGAACATAGAAATTTGAACGGATTCATAATACAATAAATAAGGACCATTATTATATACTAAACATGCTGGGGCTTCCTTGTTAAAATACCTTGTATTTTTAATATCGTTTACTATCTTTTCAACCACATTTCTTATTTATTTAACATAAAAAAAAGGTTTTTAGTAGTTGAAAGTACAGCCTCTATTTTAAGCGTGTTTTTCATTTTCTTTACTGAGTTTACTTAAAAATCATACGATCAGCATATGCAAGTTTTTCTTGTGCGAAATTACTTGTGCTTTTTCATATAATATATTTTGAAATAAGAAACATGAGTTTGGCCAGCCCATTATGTTATAAAGTGAAATGGATGCTTGAATATCAACTGCTCTTATCAGTCAGCATATTTCATCAAACAATAAACGACGCCTAGGCAATCCCGGCGCTACTGATAAGGCATTTAATTCGAATTGTTTGCATTGAAATTGATAAATCGTATGCAAATCGAAAAAATAATTAACTTGTAACTGTTTAAGACAGGCCAAGTTTTAATTGACGTTAAGATTGCAACAGGATCAGACGTTTACAATTTAGTGCTTAAAATATTTTTACAAGCAGATATTTAATTTATTGATAATAAAAACGATTCTAAAAGCAGTGAATGAGAAATACATATTTTTTTGAAGTTAAGCGGAACGTTTCAAAAGCTTCATCCAAACAAGAATCACAAAATGTCCAATCCCAGAAACACAAAAGCATGCGGAAAATGTGAAAATCTTGCCGGTATGCGCATATTTATGCTAACTAAAATTTGTTAATTGAAAGTGTTTCTAAGTTGGAGCTGTGATTTTCTAATTAATTGAAAAATAAGTACAAAAATCCATTACTTCTTAACATTGAGTTTAATTGCATACGTAAATATGGAATCCAATTCTTTGTTTTATTTATTAATTATATAAATATTAATTAAAGATATAATAATCATTTGAAATATACATATAACTGAGTTCTAAATACAATTGCAGATAATGCTGATGCTGTTACAAATAGCTGTTCGAAAATCTTTCCTGATAAGAAATACAAACAGATACAGCCGAAGGGCAAAGAAGTAACGGGACTCACACATGAATGTGGAGTTTTCGGAGCAATTGCCTGTGGCGAATGGCCGACACAGGTAAGAAAATAAATTTCACTACTTCGGCATAACAGCGACGGCTTCCTCTGACAGAATTCATTCATTGCAACATAATCCATTATGCAGTTCGTATTTGTATTAAATACGTGTAGCTTGCCAAGGAATATTTGTGGTTTTTCTAAGTTAATTTCGAGCGAAATTTTAAATACTTCCATTTCGAAATAATAACTTTTATTTCGTGCCCTAATCGCCTTAAACAGCACCCTGTTGAACAGTTTGCTTATCATTACCGAATTATAAATCGCGCCTCATATTCAAGGAAAGTTGGTCGAAATACCAATGATACGCAGAATTTCCACTACAATGATTCGCAGAATTCGGTCAGATTAGGTAGACAATTCCAGAAGACTTTTTCATTCGAAATTTGATACAAACTTAAGATCCATTTCTTGCTGTATAAGAACCAAATTTCCAAGAGTAAGTAGGAACTCGAATACATAGTATAAACATAAGAGACCTGAGCCTGTTCCCAAAAGCAAAAGCAAATCTTTGCAATTTTATTTATTTTTGTACATATATACAAACTGAGGAAATGAAAAACAATTTTTAAAATAAAATTAAAAACAATTATGCATAAGATTACAATGCCCGGCATCTTATCACCAAGCAACACTCGTTACTGCAATCGGTGTTGGGCTAAATATTGTTTACGCCACCCTGAACTAATTTTATGCTGATTCTGATTTGCACGTGCGACAGATGCTTCATCCAAATACGGATGAATGCAAATAAATATGTGTATTTGTTATAAATTTGTCTATTACTTATCAGTAGATTTTGTTTATTTTTGATGTTTATTGAAAATGCTAAAGGGTAAAAGTTGAGTTCAATTAGCAACAAATATTTATTGGACCGGTCTTGCAATGTACAAATGTGCATACGTGTATATATATATATATATATATATATATATATTAAATAACAAAATTTAATTTTCTCAACACAGGCAAATATTTTCTTTTATTGATGAAGATAAAGCATAATTACTCCGTGCTGATAGAGTTTCCCAGTAACCCACTTACATACTTATATAGAATATCACATATCTTCTCACACTTGTGAACGGCAGTACGTCGTGCTCACCACTCGGCTCCCGCCGCCGACTAGGATGCAAGGAATGCACGGTTTTATTATCAGTGCACATTTATTCAACGCTAAGAACATTATCTGCGTCTAGCAGAAATACAAATTAAGCTCACTCAACCGACTTAATCGTGTAAACGGTAAACAATTTTCCTGTTGAAGGTAACAGTCCATTCATAATGCGAGAAATTTCCCTTTCTGCTCAAAACCGAACATCTAGAAATTCCTTGAGCTTTTGTTTCGTCTTCTTTCATATATTATTGAATTAATATCTCATTTTATACAAAGAGACACTCTTCTATTGCTTCTTTGCAGAATTTGTTTCGAGCTTTTGCTAGTTCAGTCGCTTATAACTCAAGATCACAGTACACTTCTCTAAAATTGATTCCAGTACATTGAAATCTGAGCTGCGCACGATCAATCCTCCTCAATCTTACACACCGGAATTGAACTTTTTGAAACTAAAAGTTAGTATATTTTAATTGCCTTCAAATTCTAAGCCGTCTCTGAAGAGCTTATGGATTTTTGAGATCAGCCAAGATTTAAGTTAGAAATATACTCAGAAGGGTTGCCATACTTTTTTTTAACGACTAACCCAGAGTTACCCACCTCCCGCCCAACCGACCGAGGAGCGGCGTTTTAGGGTTAATCGAAAACCAGTAACAGTTGGGACTGCCCTGAACCCGAAACCGATCTCGGAAGGTCGCGTTTGCACTTGCCTCTTACACTAAACAGCTACAAATTTATCCACCACCTGCTATGTTGTTGTTGTTGTAACCGCAAAATTATTCCCCAAAGTCCTTTTTGGGAATGTTGCGGGAGTGACAGTCCTTGGCCGGATAAAAATCCGGGTCGTTCCGGTATAAAGACCCGACTGTCGCGGGAACTATTGGATTTTAGTCGCCTCTTACGACAGGCATGCCTTACCGCGGGTAAATTCTTGAGCCCCTAACCCGCTGGGAATAAATTCTTGAGCCCCTAACCCGCAAGGGGCTATCGAATTGCATTGCGAAAAGGAGAGAAAATTTCCTTATTTATTTAAAACACTCAGTAAGTAGGTTTTGTTACAGAAAACCGAGTCAGAGGAATCAATGTTGGTGAAATGTACAAAAGTTTAAAGTTTGTTCTGTAAGAGCCCAATGAAATGGGCCTAAAGTGTCTCGATGATCTTAAAGCGTCAGATGAGGACGACAGATTAGTGAGGCGTAAGCGACCTTTGTAAGAAGGCAGGTCCTTGATCGCATCCCTGTTTAAATTTCTTAACGCGAATAGTGAGGTGAGGAGTAATTTGGTAATGTATGGGTCCTTGAACTCCTTAGCCCAACGTTTAAAGAAAGCTAAAACGCCTTTTGCCTTATTAACACAGTCATTTGCTTATTTATTTGTTAAATCCAACTTAGGGGCTAAGTCAATGAAGTCAGTAACTTGTTCAACACTGTGATTATGTCTCAAATAGGTGAAGGATTTGAAAGATTTTCCGGAGACACACATATACACCTTGTCCGAATGGTATCACACAAATTCAATCAATGGCCAAATTTACAAATAATGCAATGGAATTAAACAAAGCAAATCATAAATGCCCCCTTTGCCGGATTTTGAAGCTTTTTCTCATTATTAATATAAAATCAATTTCAAATTTTGTTAATTAATTTGTTATATTGACGGCCGCCGCAGCTGAGTGGTTAGCATTTCGTAGGCCAGGGCTCAAAACCTGGTACGACCAACATGGAAAAATAATTCAAATTAAAAATTAAGTTACATTTTTTAATTGCTGTTGCCTCTCGGAAGGGTATGTCCCGATTGTATTTCTGACATGAAATTAAAGCTGCTCATAAAAGACCATCAGTCGTTCGGAAGCTGCTTGGTATAAACTGTAGGCCCCTCTATTTGTTGGAACAACATCAAGACGCAAAAACCACAGATTAGAGGAGTAGATTGGCCGAAAATCGTTTCAGCGATTACAATATATATATACATATATATATATATATGCATATGTATATTACCGATTTTCAATATTTCCATTACCTCAGTGAGTGCCCATGGTATCATAGCCATTTTCTTTTATTTGAGCCAACTTTTAGCGAGAAATATATAGACATCGGGTAAGACATTTAACATATATAATAAGATTGAGTGCTTTAAAGTTCAAAACTTATCGTCAAAATTGGACACTCTGTGGTTTAGATATGGTATCTGGTTGGTCCGGTTGAGCACAATCTAACTTTAGCGTTAAAGTCTTTTACTCAAAAAATTAAAGATTCTTATAAGCAGCAATCTCTGCCCATTGTCCTCTACCTTTTGCCATTTGTCGCAGCCATTGAAGATATCCCCCCTTATCCATGAATTGCGAATGTGTAAATCCATTTGACACAAAACAACAAATCCGCAGACGCCGACGTCATTATTTTAACATATTTATGGTAATAGAGAAATTAATTAGTTCATTAATTAAGTTTGCAGTATATTTATATAAATAAACATGTTTACGCGGACAAGCCAGGCAGAGGGCGGGCCCCTTTCCTATCAACGTACTCACATATAATCAAGCGTCGTGCATATATTATACGTATGTATGTGTATATGTATATAAGTATGCAATTGTGTACAATTTCTGAATAGGAAACTCGTCTCAAACTATCAATGATTCAGAACAGCGTTCATGTTATCAGTATTGACGTCAGTGGTCGCTGGACGTGAGTTGTTATTGTCTTGTCTTGTTTGAATTATATTCGATTTCTTGTGGCAAACGAATGGCAAATTAATTACAAAGTGATCTTCTGTGTCTTATCAAGTCTCTCATTACTCGCTTGGGGGTTTCAGATTATCTGGGCTGATTTTTGTTTACAAATCTTCCATTTGTTGATCTGGGTTGTTTTTCTAGCGACTTCTGACGTTGGTAAAAGCAAATGCTCAATTACATTGATTCAATGGTCGCATTATAGGTCAACGCTTCATTTAGCCATCGAGATTGTCTTCTATCATCAAAAACTTTTCGCACATTCATGTAAAGGTGAAATTAAATCAACATATTTTCAGATTGATATTGCCCAGTGTATTTGCCTGGGGTTAGTAGCGCTGCAACATCGTGGTCAGGAATCGGCCGGTATAGCCACAAGTCAAGGCAAAACGGCTAAGAACTTCAGTATCCACAAGGGAATGGGAATGATCAGTAATCTCTTCAATGATGATTCCATTAAGAAGTTAAAGGGTAACTTAGGCATTGGGCACACACGCTACTCCACATCAGCTGCATCGGAGGTGGTAAATTGTCAACCCTTTGTTGTACACACCGCTCACGGAGCTGTGGCGATCGCACACAATGGTGAATTGATCAACTGCGAATCGTTACGCCGAGTGGTAAGTTCTATTTTAGTTTGTCTAGTTGCTTCCATATTTTTACTCATTTGAATTTTTGAAGGTGTTAGAAAGAGGTGTTGGCCTGTCTACCCACAGTGACAGTGAGTTGATCGCTCAATGCCTCTGTTGTGCACCAGAAGATGCCAGCGAGCACGATGGTCCCGATTGGCCAGCTCGTATACGTCAGTTTATGACTCTGGCACCACTGTCGTACTCACTAGTGGTCATGCACAAGGATAAGATCTACGCAGTGCGTGATTCTTATGGAAATCGACCGCTTTGCATTGGTAAGATAGTACCGATCACTCTCGGACCTGGTAAGCCAGAAGATGCGCCCGCCGAGGGTTGGGTGGTATCCAGTGAAAGTTGCGGATTTCTATCTATAGGCGCTCGTTATGTGAGAGAGGTGGAGCCCGGTGAAATTGTGGAGATGACACGAAATGGCTTTCGCACTGTAGATATTGTTGAGCGTCCGGATTACAAGAAAATGGCCTTTTGTATTTTTGAATATGTGTACTTTGCACGCAGTGACACCACCTTTGAGGGACAGATGGTGTATTCGGTACGATTGCAGTGTGGCATGCAATTAGCCATAGAATCACCCATTGAAGCAGATATCGTAAGCTCCGTACCTGAATCAGGTACGGCGGCAGCGCATGGCTATGCCAGAGAGGTTGGAAAACGATTTTCTTCACTTTAAGTTTAAATATATATACACATGCAAACATTTTTCTTGATTTTAGTCCGGTATACCCTTTGCTGAGGTACTGTGCAAGAATCGCTATGTCGGCAGAACTTTTATTCAGCCCTCAACTCGCCTGCGACAATTGGGTGTTGCGAAGAAGTTCGGCGCACTCTCTGTGAATTGTGAAGGTAAGCGTGTGGTTCTGATTGACGATTCGATAGTCCGAGGCAACACTATTGGTCCCATTATTAAACTATTAAGGGATGCGGGCGCCAAAGAGGTACATGTTCGTATCGCCAGTCCGCCGCTGAAGTATCCGTGTTATATGGGAATTAATATACCAACAAGAGAAGAGCTCATAGCAAACAAGTTGGAACCAGATGAACTGGCAAATCATGTTGGTTAGTTCAATCAAACCATAGTTAAAATAGCGATTTTTAATATTTTATTTATGAATCTAAAGGCGCGGACAGCTTGAAGTACTTGAGTGTGGATGGACTTATCACGGCTGTAGAAATCAACAAAGCAAACACCAATCCCATTAAAGCAGGCTACTGTACCGCTTGCTTGACTGGTGAGTATCCGGGCGGCTTGCCAGAAGAGCTCAGCTGGTAACTTGGATACAGATTTTATCCAACTGCAGAAATATTCGAAAATTCGTATTTTAGTATTCATAGCTCATACAAATACTCATATAAAATGTATATTTATATTACTTAAAGTAGTTTTTATTTTTATAATTCATAAATCGCAAATAAACGTTTGTAATCTGACTTTTCCACGGCATCGTGAATTACCTTGTTCGTCCTCTCAATTCCATCGCAAAATACCCGTAAGTGTTGTTTATTAAAAGTTTATAAAAATTTGAGTTGAATTGAGTTGCGCTGCATAAGCGATTCTCTTTGTAGAGCTATAAAACATGGCTTTTTAGAAACTCCTATTATTAACAATAAAAATTGATTTTTAAACCTTTTATATTTCAAATATCAGGGATTTTCATTAAATTGGTGATATAAGAAAAAAATTATAAACGGTTGAAAAATATAACGAATTTTTAGGAAATCGGAGATAAAGAGGGTAGATCGAATTCAGAACCTTCGTTAGTGCCACTCTACTTTAGAGAGGCCATTAATAAGGTTTTCCTATCAGGACAAATGCATTGTCACTTTTATTTGCTTATTCTTCACTAATCTTCATTATCACTTATATTTTTTGCACTTTTACACAACACTGAAACATAAAAACGAGTACGTATAGGTTATGTTTCTGAAGTTATATAGGGTTGTAAAGGGGCGTCGTCTAGCTGGGATGTAATGGGGTGTGGTCAAGCTTCTGGGTATGCTGATACAGTCGCGAGGCTATACTCAATTCCTACTCTTGGGTCCACGTCGCGCACTCTGGAACCATGAGCAACTCTTTTGCATGATGCGGTGTCCGTCACGTGTGGAGCTTTGAGCCACGGCTTATGAGAGTGGAGCTACTCCGACTTATTCGGTTTAAGGGTCTGCTGAAGTATAATTGCAGCGTCTGTTCACCTGCGAGCGGGCGTCGGTCTTGAAGCAAGAGGCTCGCTATATAAACGTGTAAAAAACTTTAAACCTACTCGCGCTGGGTTTGGACCCGCTATGTAGAAACCAGCTCCAATGAAAAATTACTCAACGCCTCGGATGAAATACCCCTCTTCTGTTGACGACCCCCGCAAACGAGTTAAGGATCACGATTTTAGGGCATGCGCCTGGAATGTCCGGTCCCTTAATAAGGAAGGTGCTGTCCTAGTAAGAATAAAGGCTGGCATCACCGTCGTCCAAGAAGTGCGATGGACGGGACAAGGACGAGAGAAAGAGCGCAAATTTGGTGTGGGATTCGTGGTGGGAAAGAGACTCCGTCGCCGAGTACTGGCATTCACTCCGGTGGATGAGCGTCTCGCCACAATCCGCATCAAAGCGAAATTTTTCCGCATATTGTTAATTTGCGTTCACGCCCCGACGAAAGAAAAGGACGATTTGGTCAAGGATGCCTTTTATGAGCGCCTAGAGCATACTTACGAGCGCTGTCCTCGAATCAACGAAACATCCCCTAAGGGGTTGCGGCTGATCGACTTCGCCGGGGTCGAAATATGGTTGTTTGAAGTACTAGATTCCAGCACAAAAAATACATCAAGCTAATTTGCTGCCCCGACATCCGAACGATTTTCTACTCGGCTTGCACTCCTGTTCTCTGAGAGCAGTCATCAGCAACTCGGAATACGGGACCTGTGGGACGGCATTTCATTTGAAACTATTGGATTTCGTAAAGGTCGCAAAAACAGCTGGTACAATGAGGACTGCCATGTCGCAATGGAGAGAAAACAGACTGCCTACCTCTAAACGTTACAATCGACGACAACACGTGAAGGATGGGACAAAAAAGAATGAGGCCAAGATGCGTGAGTATGAAGGGCTTGAGAAGCTAGCCGACAAGAGCAATGCTTAAAAATTCTTTGAGAAGATACGACGACTTACAAAAGGTTTCAAGAACTCTTTTAGGGCACAAAGAGGTGATATAACCGTCATTGCCCAGAGTATTTTGCATTTATGGAGGGAACACTTCTCCAACCTGCTGAATAGTAGTGAAAATGGAGAATGTGGAGATGGTGAGCCCGAAACTCCAACTGATGACGATGGAAAAGTGTACAAGTTATGTATTAGCTACTTGTAGAATATGGTCGGACGAAACCATGCCCGAAGATTGGAATTTAAGTGTGATCTACTCAATCCATAAAATGGGGACCCAATATTTTGCGTCAATTACCGTGGAATAAGCCTCCTTTATATCGCCTACAATGTCTTGTTGAGCGTATTGTGTGAAATACTGAAGGCTACTTTCAACAAACTGATTGGACCTATCAGTGTAGCTTCAGATCTGGTAAAATAACCATTGGCCAGATATTCACTATGCGCCACATCTTGGAAAAGAGCCGTGAAAAGAAGATCGACACCCACCACTTCTTCCTTGACTTTAAAGCCCACTTTGACACCACGAGTAGGATCTGCCTTTACGCCGCTATGACAATACCAGAAGCGCAGTCAGAATTGGGTAGGACCTCTCCGAGGTGTTTGGTACCAAACGAGGTTTCAGACAGGGTGACTCTTTGTCGTGTGATTTCTTCAATTTGATGCTGTAGAGAATAATAAGAGCTGCAGAGCTGAATAGAGAAGGTACAATCTTCTTTAAGAGTGTACAACTACTGACATAAGCCGATGATATTGACATTATCGGAAGCGAAGAAAAGACGAAATATCTCTGAACTTCGTGGTCGTAGATAATTTCGTCTATCTAGGAACCAGCATCAACACCTACAATAATGTCAGCCTTAAAATCCAACGCAGAATCCCTATTGCTAACAGGTGCTACTTTGGACTCAGTAAGCAATTGTAGAGTAAAGTTCTATCCCGTCGAACGAAGACAAGTTCCTCATTATACCCCTCCTACTATATGATGCAGAAGCGTGGACGATCTATTAAATGCAATAGTCTTCGAGATAAAAGTTTTGCGAACGATTTATGGTCCTTTACGCGTTGGCAACGGCGAAGATCGCAGACGATGGAACGACGGGCTGCACGAGTTATACGGCGGTTATAGTTCAGGAAATCGAGCAGCAGCGGCTACGCTGGCTAAGTCATGTCGTCTGAATGGATGAAATCACTCCAGCTTTGAAAGCATTCGATGCAGCACCCGCCGGTGGAAGCAGAGGAAGATAAAGACCTCCACTCCGTTGAAAAGACTAGGTAGAGAAGGACCTGACTGCACTCGGTATTTCCGATTGGCGCCAAACAGCAAAAAGAAGAAATGAATGACGCAATGTTGTTAAATCGGCTATAATCGGGTAAGCGCTGCCTAAGTAAAGTAAAAGATATTAAATCATAACTGGAATAAAAGCTCGAAGCCAAGTTTCGAAATTCGGAGAAAGAAAATTTAGCTGAAATCACCGATTTTTCAAATTTCGAACGTTTTTAGATGGCTTTAACTTTACGATAAGCAATCAGACATTAGTTGGATAGTTTGCGTTAAATTATACCTTGACAAGACGCAACAGCTGATCGGCTGGGTACAAGTATCAGAATTTTATTTGGAGGCTGCAAAAAATGAATGAAAATCCGTTTTTTTTTTTGTAATTAAAAAAAATCTCCATTTGAAAATGTAGATTGCCATCATTGATTGTATTTTTCTTTATATTCTGTATGAACTGATTTCTCCTGGACCAACTACATATTAATTTGATTAGATTTAGCCAATATATGACGGAATCGCATCGATTGGGCGATTAACTATAATAAAACTCTTTGCCCATCTTTTGCATCATTCTTTCTATGAATTTACGGTTGAAATTTTATCAATGTTAACGGTCGGCCATATGAGTTACCACTTATGAAAAAATACTTTATTGACGAAAGCTTTCACCCAGTACCTAGATTTTTTTGCTTAAGTATTATTATCCAAGTAGTGTAATTGTTTTAATTCAACAAAGTCCTATTCTGTTAATGGCAACATTCGAAATGAATACATCTTCAAAATGGCTAGACAATTTCGATTATAATAGATAGATAGTAGAACACTACTGACATGTATGGCAGGGTATTGAGCTAATTTCATATAATACCGTATTTTCGGCTTGGACACCCAACCTTCGTTGTCCACTGAGATAAAGCAATTCTTGCCAAAATAATACATTGCACGAACTAACATGGTTAAATCAACTCGGCATGAGTATGTATGGTGTTAAATGCAACCGTTAATTTTCACCGAATGCAAAGCACAGTCGAGCATGAAAATAATGTAGACCCTGTCACCAGACAGTTATCAGAAACAACGTCCTCTGACTCATTAGTCTCGAAATCTGCAACTGCTGTTTTTTACCAACACCTTTATGAGCCGCAATTCGGAATTTATTATCATAACGGTACTTACGAAAATTCATTTTCTCACTTATAATATCATCGCTGCCACTTTAAATGCAAATTTGCAAATGTCATAGAACATAATTATCCTGTCACACTCACTGTCGAGAGATTACGGTTGTTTCGAGTGTGTTGTCATAACGGACCCTCGTGCACCCCAATCCAAAGCAACTGGTGATGTCGCGTATTATCCGTCAAATCGCATTCGGGACACAAACGCCGGTAAGTACGTGTATGTAAGAACAGGAGGCTAAATGCATATATGCACAAACTTATTTATATATGTATATTACATAGGTTATGTGTGTATGCGTGTATGTGTGTATATGACTAAGTATGTAAACGCAATTCTTTTCTATGTTTACTTGGCCTCATTTAACTTCTCTCTTGGCTTATGTGTTTGCCATTTTTTAATTCATTCCCTCATTCCTGCAAAAGTTTATTCAATATGTCGGCAACGTTGCGGTGACTTTGAGAAGCTGTTAGCAAATATAAAAAATGGGTGGGCATTCAAAAATGTCGTAAATGTGAAGACGTATAAAAATTGCAAACAATATTTTGCTAAGCTTGAAAAAACAATGAAGCAGGAAAAGTTAATGGCGGTGAGGAAGTAAGCGCAATGAAGTGGATAAATACGATGAATGGTTGAACATTTAAATTTTCTTTAATCTATTTTATTGCACAATCTCCGGATACAAGAATTTATTTTTTTTAATATAAACTTGTGTAAATATGGTTGATGTAACTGTTTTATGGCCCTTTAAATACCAAAGAATCAAAATCGGAGGAAAAATAATATTATATTTCATCACATAATATTTTCGTACTTATTTTATCCCTCTCAGTTTCAGTGACT